GTGTGGCCAAACGCCACCCCCTCTCTCGGTCCGTAGACTTCTTGCCACCGGGGCAGCCAATGGAGGACGTGAGGGCGGCTTGCACTTGCCATAGAGCTCATGCCCAGTCTGTCGGTGTCCGTAGAGATTGGCCGGACCTCTCCCCAATGGCCGTAGCAAAAACGTCAGCATCAAGCAGACTATCCGGCAATGTTGCCAGACAGTGCTTGATGACTGACGAAATTGCCCGGCCATCGTACGCATCCTCACTTGATTGTAAGTATTCGCTGAGTACACCTACCTTCTGAAACGGTAAAGCATGCAATAATGTTTATTAGCGCACATCTACGCACAAACGAATCTAATGTCATGATTAGCATGCATGAGATTCATGAGGTGACTTACGGAATTCGCCAGATTTTCCACTTCTTTAACTTTGGAAGCGCGGCCCGGCACCCGGTACAGGCCCTCCGCATCTAGGCCGCGTATGCGGAGGGCCGTCACCATGTCGACCAGGACTCGTGGAACGCCCTAGTTGATACGAAGAAAAAAACAGCGTTTAATGACAGAATCAAGCCGGCTTTAGCATGCACAAACGCATGACTATTAAAACTTGTCCACCTGGACTCACTGGGTGTTCGGGTGCCTCCACCTATTCCGATAGCCGGCCACCGAAAACTGGCAAAATTTCACAAACTGAAAAAGGACGAGGAAAGCGATTGACGACTGAGAAAGAGAAATGCGCGCTGAACTGCTTAGGCCATCCCTATTAGGGTATGGATAGCACCATGTGATCGTTGTACGGCTCGGTTTGAATGCAAAACAATGGTTAGATTTCGTCTTCTACCCTATTAAAATGTATGTGGGATGTCAATCACTGGAACGCATGCACTTATTGAACTCACGGTTCCGAATAATATAGATAGTCATTCAGCTATCTAGCTGACCTAGTTCTATATACTCTGCTGACTATTCGACAGATGGAAATATTTAGTGAACTAGAAAGTCTTTCACAGCCCGTTGCTAAACACACAAAATACACATCAAGTATATTTCTCCCCCTTTTTCATCTGGCCTCCATTCTACGTTATAATCGAAAAGAAGTGAGCAATAAGACGCCATCTATAATCTGGTCTAAGTACCTTATTCTTTTAAATGTGCAACAAAGCCAGCGAAAATAGGATTAAGTACATGCGACGAAATTGCCTGGCCATCGTACGCATTCTCATTTGATAGGAAACGTTCGCTGATCACACCTAAATTCTGAAACGGTAAAAACATGCAAGCCTGCATATTAGCGCATATTTCTTGAAACTACGATGCTCTTTCTGGCAATCCGTAGAGGCCCTCCGCGTTCAAACCGTCTAGGTGGAGCACCTTGATCATGTATTCCGGGACTTTCAGATCTTCCTAGTTGATATGACACAAAAGGGATGTTCAATGGTAGAATAGAGCCAGTCTCGAAATGCGAAAACGCACGAATAAGTGATATTGTCATCCCCGAGACCTTACTGTGTGCTGAAGTAACTTATCCTGTTCCGAGTGTTTGCCCCGAGCACTGACCATGACGATAGGAGAGAAGGAAGGTTTTACGGACTGGAAGTGCCAAATGCGCGCAAAACTGCCTAGGTAAACTCTATGTTGATGTAATTGCACCACGTAAATGCCTTTTTTACTTTTAAAACCACGATATGCCGTCAAAATATACAGCATATTTTGTCAGAGAGACCATGTTTAACTGTGAAGATCTCAAGTTGATCTCTCAACAATTATTGCCACATTTGGGTATCAAAAGCACAGGTAAAAACATCTGTATCATCTCAAACGCTAACGAGTGCATTCATTAGCGAAATCAGTTTAACATCACCAGTCACCGTCGAAATAAAACGAAGAAAATCCAACGGGGTGCAGAGGACAAAGAGCCTTACCGACTCACTCAGATGTCGCAGCGCCTGGATGTCGGAGACGCCAAAAAGAAGCGAAGCGATGCGAACAATTGTACAACTGTGTTTCCGTCTGTACTGCGGTGCAATGGAACTACATACCAAGCATGAATGGCTTATTGTTCGCCAGTTTACAGTCCACGTCATGCTTTTATAATATAATGTTCTGGTTATGTTGTGCTTTTATTCCCGATAGGACTATAACAGCCGCCTGGGTCCATCCTGCATGTGTTTTGTTTCCAAAATGGTGGTTATTGTGAAGCCATCTGCAAAGTCACGTCGGCAGCCGAGGGTATTTTCAAATGTTTCGGGGTTTTGTCACAGCAGTTTACCACTGGGCGATGCGACTCTTCATTCTTTAGCAAATAAGTCAATTCGGTTCACACCCGACATTTACCGAAGGGTGTTCCCACACTTGCAACCGCGTGTGTTTAGGAGAATCAAAAGTGGAAACGCAAAAAAACATTAAGGTGACCATTAGAATTCAGGCTTAATCCCGAATAGCAATATAGGTAAGTGAACGTCATTTGATAAGATATTATATGCTGTAGAGGGTAATTGGACAATCGATCAAAAAAGCTTTGGCATTTGGATAATAGCACGTCCGCGGTCGTGAGAAAGGCGTCCAAATGCGAAAGAGAGAGCGATCACAGTGCCTAGAGCGTGAGCCCTTCTGAGCCGGCCTTGAAAATGATTGGTTGAATTGGACAGCCATGATTGACCGAGAACCAGATAGCCAATTGCTCACACGTGCAAGTGGTTGCGGAGGCTGCAGTGTTGCGACTGGCGCCGGAGTAGATCAACTACTAATCTGTTTCTTCTTCTGAGGGTACCTCTATGACGGCAACTGCCTCGTGCGAATGCTCCTGTTAGAATGGCTAACAGTTATGCTGAAGTTTTCAGTCCGTAGATCACACGGTGACAACTGGCACTACGGCCGGTGTTCAGCCTACATCAGCCAGACCACTAATAATTTTTTTAGTCGCAGTCCCAGCTCCATGTGCAAAATATGAGCAGGTATACAACCATCTTCAATAGCGTAAGCGTCAGTTTGAACAAGCTGATAGCCCGAAATTTCCGGAATGAATTAGATAGCAGGACGCAAACGGTAAAAACTGAATGGCCACTGGTAAACCGAGCCTCGTGTAATTATCACATACAGTAGCAGAATCTCGATGAAACACCTATTTAGGCTTTTAGCTAATTCATATTTTATCGTATTGGCAGCTCTGGGCTGCATTCTAGCCGCGGCGTAGTTGGCAAGTGGTTGATGGTTCTTAAAATGCACGGCGAAATTTCATTTAAATGCATGCCGTCCTCTTCCCATCGTTAGTGCATTATTAGGAGGTTTGGCAGATTTGCTTAATTTGAGTTGACCCAGTTGTAAAGAAACTCGAGGCGTTTGGCGGGATTTTAACCCGCGCATCAGATAAGACCTTTGCCGGAGGTCAATGCATTAGTCAGGTCAGGTTTTATCAGGGAAATATACGTAAATACCTTTGAACTTCCCCTTGGTACAGAGCAGCTATGATGCAGAAAATGTGGCGTTGCCCGAAATGGAATTGCGTAAGAAGGGAAGACAGTTAAAAAACTCCTTACGCATTGTTCATAATTCTAAGTTCGAATGCCATTTGCCGGATTTTAAAGAGAAAAACTGTCCCCCGTGGGGGGGGGGTGATGGTATATGCAAATTGGATGGCCTGTTGCTGAAAGTGTTTGAAACATATTAGGAGGAGCCCATCGCGGTTTTTTCAATATCCTAAGGGCCACCTGAGGAGAAAATCGCGGAAGTCACGAGTACATCACCGAGTGTCGGAGATGCGCCCATCATACGCCCTTGCTAGTTACCAGGTCTGCCGACCAGATGACGAAACACGGAAGCCCACCACGATCCTCTGCAGTTATTCCTTGTGGACGGCATCAATGTGCTCATTCAGGACTTTCTTCTGTTTGAAATCTTCGCCGCATACCTCACACACAAAGGGTCGCAGTTCCGTGTGGACCAGGTCCATATGCCGATTCGGGTTTGACTTCCCAGCAAAGGTTCTGCCACACACGTCACACACAAAGTCTCGCCGCCCCTTGTGGATAACGTCAATGTGTTTATTCATGGTTGTCTTCCGTGTGAAGTCTTGGCCGCAGACTTCACAGACGTAGTTTCGCAGTTCTTTGTGGACGGCAGCGATTTGCCTTTTTAATGTAGACTTTTGTTTAAAACTTTTGCCGCACACTTCACACACAATGATTCCCCGTTTCGGACAACGTTCGCCTTCCAAATCGTCAGCGCATCTCATGCACGAAGGGTCTTCTGGCCCATGTTTGGGATACCTAATCTGTGATATGTTTGGCAATGTATCTACTCCGGCAGTAAGCCTATCTATGGAGGATGATACATTAGTTGTCATGTATAATTGGTCTGCTGGCACACAGAGCACAGTCAAGGGTGGGAGTAATTTGGTCTTCGCTTCACTTGATTAAGTTGATGATGTTGGTGACGGTGGTGGTTGCCATTTATGCCCGTTGCTTGCACAGTCACTTTCACTGGGTTCATGTTCGGGTTGGGGAAGGAGTCGAATACAATGTCGATTTGACCGAACTGACTTGTTAACCCCATGAGGCCTCAACACGCACTCTTCTTCAGTTTTAACTTCTTCCTGTTTGGTTCCAACCAGTAGCGAGGAAGGCACTCTATCAGACACTTTTCCGTAAAATCATAAAAACTGGTAGATATGCGTTAGACGATGGGTCCTAATCGCGGGTGGTGGTGGCACATGCCGGGCTTTCTATTGGCAGTTGACACCACTGGTATTCGACAAATCGATAAGTCCAGTTTTATTAAGGGAAAGATAGGTGAACGTCTGTGAACTCGATATTAGTTACATAATGGCCAAGAAAAGAATCGATGTAGAGGAAAAACGGCACACAGTAATAAAACCAATTTATGCTAAACATGCAGGCATGCCTTCCAAACAATCCATTAAAAGTCTCGCTCATCGGCCCTTCTGAGAAAACTAATATAAACATTGGTGGGTGGACGCTGCCAAATGGGTTACGCAATTCCTCGTCCCGTTCTGCCTGGAGATCACTCTTCAGCCCAGTCAATAGCGACACCGCGGCTGGTATTATTATCAGAAGGACATTACTGACAAAGACAAGGGGGACCGGAATGATCATTTCCTGTTTAGTAGTCGTCATCAGCCTGCCATACCCGAAACCAGGCGGTGCACCACCAAAGGCTCAAATTGACTACCTCTTGATTAGAGGATCGACACTGTAACCATTGAGTTACAGACCCGTTGTAGGTTGCAGGTCACTGATTTTTGTAGGATAAACACTTGGACAGAAGCAACCTACGTAGGTACAAAATGTCGATCTCAGCCCAAACTTAGTTTGTCAAAATTCCTGACTGTCAATTGCAAAGCGGGTACAGAAGGGGATGGCATCTACCAGCGAGGGAGCCTAAGATTTGCATCACATGAGATTTTCCTTGTAGCATACTGCAACAGTAATTGATTTCAGTTACACAACCATTCAGGTCACCTGAAATGTTCAACAATTCATCAACTGTTTCACGTGTGTATCGTGTTTTCAAGCTTAACGGCCACTTTTTTCTGCATAAACGACGTACTTCATAGTGTAATCATACAATACAATAATCATACAATCATACTGTACAATACAAACGAAAATGCGAGTCCCAGGAAGTAATCGAGCAGAAGCAGGTATGATCGCTAGGACAATAATCTTATTCGTCTTACGTTTGACAATCCATCGCGAATCTATCATCAGATAAAATAGCAGAAACGGGTAACTCATGCACAGGGATTTGCGGTATTAATAGGATACAGTCACTATGCTAATGCCCACATATAGAAATTTACGGTTCCCCGTATCGAGGATAGTTACCTGCCTAGGCTATAATTGCTTGATTTCCGACATGCGGATCGTGACCCGCTGAACTTTCGTCATCCGTTCTGGACTTGAGGGTGATGCTTACTCGGCCATCTGGCTCCCTGGAACTAGCGGTAGAAGGCAAGTTCATTCATGACCGCTTATACAGTGGTCGCCGTTGACCACGTCATTTTCCTTAATTTGTATAAGTTTGAT